CCTGGTCTTGTGTCCTTGAGTGGCACAGCCATCTGCTTTGGTCTTTGCCACCCTGGGCTGTGCTCTACAGTGCCCAGAAGGGGAGCTGGCCACCCACCAGCCAGGGGACACTCCTGAACCTCGGCTGACATTGCTCTGCCCGAGCTTCACACCTGACTTGGACAATAGTCTGAGTCCTCCCCAGTACACCAGGCTGTGTGTGCCCTTGGCCTCCCTGGACTCTCGCCCATCCCTCAGTCAGAATGATCTGCCAGGAGTGACCCCTACAGGGCCTCTGTCCTCCTGCCTCCTGCTCTTCTCCAGGACTAGCAGGGCCCTCACTCTCCCACATGCCCTGATGTCATTTGAGTCCCTCCTGCTCAGCCACACAGACCCACGTTCCCTTGCCAGTCCCCAGGCCCCCCATCCTTTACTCAGCACACTGACCACACTGACAGCTGCCACTGCCTCCCTAGGAGAAGCTCAGTTCCATGGTGTTGGGCACTCGCTGTAAGTTCCCTCCTACATTTAAGGGGTGAAGAAAAGACAACTTTAAATTTCTAAAAACAGGGGCTGGGGATTTAGCTCAGCGGCACAGTGCCTGTCTGGCAAGCGCAAGGTCGTGAGTTTGATTCCCAGTACCGGGAAAAACAACAACAACAACAAAATTTTTCTAAAAATATTACAAGAAGTCACATTGCCTACAATGATGTGTGTGTTCAAGTGTGTGCATGGGGGTGCTTTGTGTGTAATTAATGGCAATGTGTCTTTTCCTGTAAAAATTTCATGCATAAATTCCCTTATTTTATGATCAACCTTGTTGATCATTTTCAGCAACTTTTGTCAAATAAAAAACTATAGTGTTTCCTTGTCCATCTTATTCAGCAGAACTGGTACAACTAGACTTCTCGCTCTTGTCCTACGTCAAAATGACCACAGAAGGTTAATGTTCTGAATGAATTCAGCACATGGAGGCAGCCATCACAGGACAACTAAAAATCTGAAAGAGGACTTCCAGAACTGCTTCAGAGAGCAGCAAGGATGATGGGATCAGTGTGTTTGAAGCAAGGAGCATTCTGAGGGGAGTTAAGAGCAATGTATCTTTCACTGTAATTAACTTTTAAATATTTTCAACAGTCATAGTTTTAAATCATACTGCATATTTGATAGCTCTCATGGTTCTTATAATAGCCTGGCATGCATGTGCCACACTCAAAAATAAATGACCGGTAAATGGGCACATGCATGTGGTTCTAATAAAATTCAAATCAGAGGTTTTCTTGAAACCAACCAATTCACAAACTTGTATGAAAGAAGGTGCACAAACAACACAAAGACAGCTATAAAAGTGACAAGAAGTCTTCACCTTATGAGTTATTTGTGTATCCACAAGTGATAAATGTAAAAATGATAGCACAGGGACTACAGATCCCCAGGAGCACAGCAGGGCCAAGAGGGGAAGACAGTGAAGACTCCCATCAGTTAGAAAGTTGTTATTTTTTGTTTTAAGATGGGTTCTCACTGTACTGCTCAGGCTGGTCTTGAACTCCTGCATTCAAGCAGTCCTCCTGCTCAGCCTCCTGGGCAGCTGAGACTGCACTCCGCCAACACCACTGCACCCAGCTAGGAGCAGACTCTTAGCAATAGTGTGGGGTAACCACTTGCTTCGCACTGACTACATAAAACTGACTTCTTAACTTATACCATAAAAATCAAGTCCAGATAATTTAAAGATTTGACATTCAAAAATCCTCTAAAATTACAAGAAAAAAAGGAGTTATATGGCTATATACTAGAGAAAGCTTCTCAAAGCTATATGTACACATGTGGCTTTAAAAAAAAAGTATACTATATATTAGTTTGACCTACAAATTGAAAACATAGAAAATGCACCCTAAATGGCACTAACTGCTTTATAAAAGGGATACAAATAGGAGATGAAAAAGTTAGATTATCCTTGTGAACAGACATGATTCTTTATGGGTTTTGTTTTTGCTTTGAGACATGGACTCACTATGTTGTTCAGGTTGGCCTTGAACTCAGGGCAATCCTCCTGTCTCAGCCTTCTGAGTGCTGCAATTACAGGCACTGGCCACCATACCCTACAGCAGATATGAGCCTATACATTGGAGATCCAAAAGTCTTCACCAAAAAGACTTTTAGAGATGATAAATAAACTCAGTTAAGTAGCAGGATATAAAATCAGCATTAAAAATTTAATAGCTTTTCTGTATACCAATAATGAACTAGCTGAGAAAAGAACGAGGAAAACAAATCTATTCACAGTAGCTTAAAAAAAAAAAACCTACAGACCTGTATCTAAACAAGGAGGTGAAAGATTTCTATAATGAAAATTTCAGGACACTGAACAAAGAAAATGTGACACACGCCTGTAATCCCAGCACTTGGGAGGTTGAGGCAGGAGGAGCATTGTAAGTTCAAGGCCAGCCTTGCCTACAAAGTGAGTTCGAGACCAGCCTGAACTGCACAGCAAGACCCTGTCTCAAAACAAAACAACAGACCAAAAAAAATGAACAAAGAAAATACAGAAGACACTAGAAGACAGAACGACGCCCACATACAAGTTTATAAATTGGCAGAATATTATTAAAATAGTCATGCTACCAAAGCAACTTACAGATTCAATGTAATCCCTATCAAAATACCAATGACATTCTTCACAGAACCAGAAAAAAAGTGCTAAAATTCATATGGAGACACAAAAGACCCAGAACAGACAAACCAATCCCGAGCAAAACGAGCAGGGCTGGAGACACAATACTCAATCTCAAATGATACTGCAAAGCCACAGTAACAAAAGAGCATGGTACCGGCACAGAAATAGACAGAGACCAGTGGAACAGAGGAGAAGACACCGAAACAAACCCACACAACCACAGCCAGCTCACTCTGGACAAAGGGACAAACACAAACACTGGAGAAAGACACCCTCCTTCACAAACGGTGCTGGGAAACTGGAGATCCTCTTGGAGGAGACTGAAATTAGATTCCTTCTCTGACCCTGTACAAAAACTAACTCAAAATAGATGAAAGCCCTGGGTCTAAGACCTGGAAAAAAAAAAAGAACTGCTAAAAGAAAACACAAAAGACACACCTGAAGCTACGAACACAAAAACTTTCCGAATAGACTCCAAATAGCATGGGAAATAATAGCAAGATTCAACAAATGGGACTACACCAAATTAAAAAGCTTCTGCACAGGAAGGGAGACAACCTAGATAGAAGAGACAGCCTATAGAACAGGAGAGAATCTTTGCCAGCTACTCTTCTCACACAGGATTAATATCTAGAACACACAAAGAACTCAAAACACTGAACATCAAAAAATCAAATAGCCCAGTGAATTAATGGACAAAAGAATTGAACAGACATTTCTCAAATGTACAAATAGCCAGTATGTAAATGAAAAAAATGTCCAACAAATTTAGCCATTAAGGAAACACAAATCCAAGCTACAACAAAATTCCATCTCACCCTAGTCAGAATGGCTACCATGAAGAATATAAAATGAATGCTGGCAAGGTAGCAGGGGAAAAGGAGTCCTTCTGCACCCGCTGGTAGGAATGTAAATTAGCAAAGCCACTATGGAAATCCATATGCAGGTTCCTCAAAACACAAAAATGGAGCTACCATTTGATCCAGCTGTATCATTCCTTGGTTTAGACTTAAAGGAATATAAGTCAGCGTTCCACAGGGGCACCTACATACCCATGTTTGTTGTGGCAAAAATATAATTGCCAAGGTATGACACCAGCCTAGGTGCCCATGAACAGATGGATAAAGAAAATGTAGCATGCATATACACAACAGAGTTGCCATAAAAAAGCATGACATTCTGTCATCTGCAGAAAAATGAATGAGTCTGGCGATCATTGTGCTCAGTAAAATAAGCCAGACTCGAAAAGATGAATATCTCAGTTCTCCCTCATATGTGGAATCTCAAAAAGATGAGAGTAGAAGGGAGACTATTATTAGAAAAACGGAAGGGAAGAAGGGGAAGGGGAGGGAATTTCAGGACACGGGACACAAAAATAATCAAATACATTACACACACTGAGTCCTGCATGAAACTGTGGGGGAGGCAGCGTGTGGTGGAGAAGAGTTAACTACAATATGTTACGTGCATGTGCTAATGTGCCAAGATGAAACTCATTCATCCGCACAACCAATATGCACTAAGAAATATGGGGAAAACCAGCTCCAAAATACAAGTAACTGCTGGGTGTGGTAGCGCATGCCCACAAGCCTAGCACTCAGGAATCTGAAGCAGGAGGACTATTGCAAGTTCAAGGCCAGCCTGGGCTTCACAGTAAGTTCAAGGCAAGCCTGAACTACATAGCAAGACCCTGTCTCAAATAAATAAATAAATACACACACACACACACACACACACACACACACACACACATACATACACACAAGTTAACAGTCTGGAAGGTACTTGCAATGCATATAACAAAACAGTGAAATTATTCCTGCAACTCAAACTGAGAAAGCCCAGCAATGCAAACACAAACCAGGCAGGGAATGCAGATGGTGAGGGACCCGGACTCATGGATCTACACAAGATGCCCAGGCTCCTGGGCGTGGTGGTGCACGCCTGTAATCCTAGCACTCGGGAGGCTGAGGCAGGAGGATCATTGCAAGTTCAAGACCAGCCTGGGCTACAAAGTGAGCTCAAGGCCAGCCTGAATGTCATAGTGAGACCCTGTCTCAAAGAGGAAAAAAAAAAAAGGAATGCTCAGGCTCATGAGCAATTGCAGGAAAGCTTACTGAAATAACAAGACACTTTTCATTCATCAGATTAGCAAACATTACACAGTACCCAGTGCCAGCAGAGATATGGAAGCAGAAACTCTGAATCCTCCCAGCGCTGAGCACCGTGCCACCGTGGGCACCCAAGGGTGCACGGCTATGAGCCTGCACAAGAGTGCTGCAAGGGGCTGCTCCACGCCGGGCTGCTTCTACAGAAAACACTAAGCATACTAGATGCCCACCAGTGCGAAAACAAATAAACAAAATGTGCTGTGTTTATTTAACAGAATACAGTGGTTATAGCAGATAGTGTCCTGACACATAACAGACAAAAATAAAGCATACAGACAGCTTGATGATAATCGCGTATCTTTTTAAAGCACCAGAACAACAGAGCTGCCTTCCAGACACCGGGTGAAAATGTGAAAGACTTAAATAAATTCAGACTTACTGCGTAGCTCTCTGCAAGTGCACTGTTACAGGGAATTCTACTTACAGCTTATTGTTTTCTTACATTTAAAACATTATTTCGGGAAAGTGTCTTTTCGGCTATTAATTCAAGGATTTATAGTGCACTTCTTCTGGTGTTCAAATTCATGCCCTGTTTCTAATACTGGCAGAAAAAGTGGTCATGCTGGACACCCTGTAAACGGTGCAATACTGAACTCTATGTACAATTTAAATGAACTTCTAAGGTCGTTTAGTGTTATGTTAGTGTCATTTGTCTGCCTTTACTGACACACTTAGCATTAATTCTCTTTAATGCTGGGATTCACAGCATTCATAAGCATGGTGACTTAGAATCAAACTACATGTAAGACACCTTTCCACTTAGATAAGGACTTTTGAAGAACCAATGGTAGATACAAAATTAGGTTGATCAAAACCCTTTCCTCTAGTGCCACCTGGTGGGAAGAAGAGAAAACTCCATCTGCACCCTCCACAGAGCCAGCTGTCGCTGTCGCAGGGCACTTTTCAACTAAGCTGTCCCCATACACTGAGGTTGCTGTGCGGTGTGTATTAGCTACTTTCTCCCTGAGGCTCTTCTCAGACTGGAGTCTTCAGCTACCGATTAGATAAGAAGCAAGATGATCTTGCTCTTCATTCTCCCCATCAGACTTTGGGTTTTTTGTGTGTTTTTGTTTATTTTCCCGGTTCTCACTGGCAGCTTTTGCAAGGTATCCTGAACAAGCTCCATTACTTTCAGTAAGGTATTCTAACCGCATGGTGCCCAACCTCTCTCTGCGCCTTTCTGCAGTCACAGTGTATCCTCATCCACACCTGGGCCCTCTAGAATAAAAATAAATATTCCAACGGCTGGTTTCTACATACAACATTTAGTGTTCTCTTATCATTTTACTTTACATGAACTTATAATGGGGACACTATTTCCTTTAAAGAATATTTCCTTTTTAAATATAACACAGTTGCTACAAATATGCAGTGTCATTTACAGGGAGCTCCTTCACTGAAGCACCAGATGAGATGCAAAAAGCATACAGTATTTTAGCAGGAGCCAATAATATAAGCTGAGCATTAAAAAAATACATCAACATTTTAAAACAGGGAAGACACAGTAAAAGGTGATTAATACCCAACTGCAATGCTCAGTTCCTCTGCCCATTTTCAATATGGAGATGTGACTGAGTAGGGCAGCAAAATTACTCTGGAAAATGCAAACAGCGCTTGTAAAAATTAAATCAGTGCAAAATGGCTTTCCATCATTGTTTGGGATAGAGGTTTACAAGCTGATTTTTCATTGTTTCCAAATCACCACAGCAAAGGACAGAACTGAAGCAAGCCAAAGGTGCTCCCTACAGACCCTCAAATTGCTCAGATTCTAACACCGCTGGAACTCGGCGCCTTCAGTTGACTCCGTTCAGGTGATCCTGCAGGTTCATGCAGACGCAGTGGACCTCGGGTTCCCGACCCTCTTCGAGGTCTATGATGAAGAGGCTGATCCCAGTGTTGGGGCTGACAGACAGAAGTTCCGATCTGTTCAGAAGTGCTGGCAAGGAGCCCTTCAGGTCGGTCAGAAAATAGCTGAAAAGGCTCCTCATGTAGGCCCCGTGGCTCACCACCAAGATGCTGGCTGCCAGTCCTGGATGGCCGCGGTCCACACAGCACTCGGGACTGCAGTTTTCTCCTAAAGGAAATATCTCCGCCAAAGAAGTTTCCAGATAGTTGACTGGGACTTCTGGGGAAAGCTGTTCATTCTGACCTGCTTCTTTTAGGATTAGTTGACAAAGAAATTCAAAGAAATCTTTTCCACGCGTTTTTACCTGTAAGGAAAAAATAAAAAGGAAAATAAGATAACATTAATGACTTTAAAATACAAACATAAAACATAAGTGACTGTTAAAATCCTTAAATTTACATGGAACCACAAAAAAAACCCAAAAAACGGAATACATCTTGAGGAGCCAAATAACCAGAAGGTTTATACTACTTCAAAATACACTACGAGCCAGGGATGTAGCTTTGCGGCATCATGTGCCTGCCTGGCAAGCACAAGATCCTGAGTTCGATTCCTGGTACCAAAAAAAAAAAAAGCAAAAACACCGAGCCAAAATACACTATGAAACTTCAGTAACTTCAAAATATACTACAAACCATAGAATCAAAACATCATGATAGTGGCATAAAAACAGACAGAGACCAGCAGAAAAGAACACAGCCTGGACGCAAACCACGAAACTGCCGCCACCTTTCAGCGCACGCACTAAGAACCAAGTGGTGCTCAGGAAACAGGACTGACATGCAGCAGAATGATGCTCTACCCCTACCTCTCTCCAGTGACAAAAATCAACTCAAAATGGACTGCAGACTTTCATACAAGACCTGAAACTATGAAATTATGAGACAAAAACAGGGCAAATGCTTCAGGACTTTGGGATGTGCAAGGATGTTTTGCATAGTATCCCAAAAGCACAAGAAACAAAAGCAAACATAGATGAAAGGAACTGTATCAAACTAAAGTGTTCCCACAGTGAAGGAATAGGCACTGTAAAGAAAGAACCCACAGAATGAAGGAAACGATTTGCCAGCTATGCATCTGACAGGGGTCAGAACACATAAGGAACTCCAAAAGCCCCGCAGCACAAAAACAACTTTAAGCTCATGATTAAAACATGAGCAAGAGACCTAAGCAGACATTTCTCAGACACATGAATGGACAACAGGTGGGTGAACAGATGCGCATCAGTAGGCACCAGGAAAATGCAAGTCAAGAGCATGATGAGTTACCAACATGATCCCAGCAAGAGTGGCTACACCATGGAGAAAAGGGAGCCCTTGCACAGCCTGGGTGGGAATGGAAGTTACACACCTATCACAGGAAACACTACAAGGTTCCTCAGAAAATTACAACAATCCTATCATTGGCATATGTGCCAAGGAAATGAATTGGTGTGCTAGAAAAAGGACTGCGGCAGCACTCTTCGGAAACAACCATCCAATGATGGGCTGATAAAGAAAATGTGGTATATACACTGGATGGAATACTATTCAGCCACAAAGAAGATGAAATCCTGCCACCTGCGACAATGTGGATGGAAGTGATAATGATTAGATTAAGCAAAGTACCACAAAAAGATAAGCAAAACATGATCCCACTCATATGCACAATCTAAAAAGCTTGATCTCACAAAAGTTGACAGTCACTGGTGGTTAGCAGCGGCTGGGGAGGGACAGGTGACAGAAGATGAGAAGGGTCAACCAGTGGGCACTAAGTTACAGTCAGACAGGAGCGCACAGCACCCGCCAGCCGTGGAAAGTAGAGACAACAATGAGGTCCTGTACTTGTCAGAAGGCCTGAAGGTTCTGAAACTTTTCATCGTGAAGAAATGATGGATGTCTGAGGAGAGAAGGGTGTGCTCAACCCGAGTTCAACAGTCCACACATCAGATGTATCAACATCACAGGGTACTATTTGTTTAGTTTTTGTTGGCATGGACTAAAAACAAATTTAAATTGAACAATCTACATAACTGACCGCACATTTTCCCTGCACACTAAAAGAAGTGTACGTAAGCCCAGTCTAGAGTGACTTCCGGTCACCTATCCACAGTCCCACAGTGAAGGTGCCCCCACACTTCTGCCAGCACAATGGAGACAAAAGTGACCAAGCAAGACACAATTCCCAATTCCTGACCTCACGGCACTCACTGGGAAACCGCACGTGCCACTTGGGTGTGTCTGCGGCAACGCCAAACCTGACAGCTGCGTCTGCTGAAGTCACACTCACCAAGGCAGTCAGTCTTTACCAGAAAATTATAGGATAAAACGTAGGCAGAAACAGCCACCGATGACGCAGCTCGAAGCGGGAGACACGGAGGAAACGCGAGCGCTGGCTGCCAGCAAAACCCCTAGGAGCGCGCGCTCTGAAGTGCGAGCCCCAGCGTGGCACCTGCGCTGCTGCACGGGCCCCATCTGCTCGCTGAGCACCCGTGCCCGCCAGACCACCGCTTCACAAATTCCCCTGCTCTGCAAACACATTTCCTTCAATTCGTCTCCGGTGACAGCTGCCCGCTTAGCTAGTGAGAAACATGGGAGAACTTAAAACAGGAAAACGGCGATGATACCACGCAGAGCTGTTTTATGAACCAAGCAACTTCCAAACTGCTTGGCTGTGACTCCAAAACCCCTGACTGCAGGTGAGTTCCATTCCAGGCGACCGACACTGCCAAGCTCCCCAGGGCGGCGACAGGGCCGGGCTCCTACCTGCTCCAGCGTCTCTCCTCCGGGAGGCGTGAACACCGGGCACTCCATCCCCGCAGCCTTGGCCATGGCCCGCAGCTCGCTCAGCGCCTTGCCTTCAGCAGCCCCGTACCTCTGCAACAACCAACAACCAACAATCAACACCCGCACATAGGTGTGCAATGTTACAAGTGAGCTTATGTTTGTGGCTAATCTGGAAAATCATCCCAGGACTAAGCTTATTGCCCTTCACTTATTTATTATTTTATGTGTACTCAGTAGAGAGTCATGAACCCCAGAAAATACAGAGGCAGTCCTGAGTTGTATACACACCACGTGCGCCAGACGGACAAATGTACTAACACTGACTGAGGCAGGTGGAGAGGTTTTGTGGACAAATACAGGGCTTTGCACATCTGGGCCTAGGAATTATCGTGTGGAAGGAATCAGGATGGCCACCCCACCCACACGTAACATCCCATCGACCCCAGCACCAGCACTGTGAAGGAAGTGTGCAAACACACTCTCACTGAAGGAGCTGCGTTTCGGGAGGGTTCAGCAACCACCCTCCATTCTCCAGCCTATCATCAGCAAGGCTCAAACTCAACCCCAGATCTGTACGACTTCATGGCTCACAGCTCTCTAGGATGAACAAGTCACGGCAGGAATAAGAGCAGCCAAGAATGCAGGAAACCGCCTCGTCAAAGGTCAGTAAGGAGGAGTAGGTGGCACCATCTTTAAGCTATTAAACTGGGAGGTAAAAAGGGACTGATACTACACCACTTTCTCCTGGAGCACAGGAGGCAGCACAGCATCAGCTGTGGAAGCCTTAAAGACAAGTGCAACTGCCCATGTCCACTTCCAGAAATGTGCAGAGTCAGCAGAAAATCTAGTCACGCTCCAGCTGTCCATCTGTAGTTATAGAAACTGTGCACCAGACACACTGGAATGATAGGCAGGGCACAATAAATGGGCAAAGCTGGTCTAAAAGCAGTACGCAGAATTCCATTTAGAAAAGTGCATACAGAGACAGACATGGAAAAGTCAGGAACACACACGCCACGCATTTATCTGGAGAGGATAGAAATTTTGTCTGTATTTTTTGCAAACTGTTCTCACTCCTAATTTCCTACCATGATTATGCAATACTGCACACGAAGGTAGTGAAAGAAACAAACTGTCATTTTTATTTTGAAGGGGTGATGCCAGTATCCTCACACCGCCATCAGATAAGAGTCCAATAATAAAATACTACTCCATAAGGGTAATGCATGGTTTTTAGAAAGTCAGCCCTCTTGCCATCCCTACGTCAGGACTTTTACATCTTCAGCTGTCTGCACACTCGCTTTGATTCACAGGAACAAAAACCCTCTGTTATAAAATACCCCAAGGGCACCCTGAAGCACCTGGGCAAAGAGGCCACAGCGTGATGGAGATTCCCAGGTGACGCCCACTCGTCAGTGCAGCATGGCTGCCAACCAGAGTGCCAGCGTGAGGGGCTGGGATCGGGGAAGGAGGGACACGCGCACGTGTGGAATCACAAAAGCCAGAGCCTGAGGGGAGCAGGACTGGCCAGGTCAGGTGAGCAAGGGCTCCAGGTGGGACTGATACAGACTCAGAAGCCCAGTGAGGGAAGAGCAGAGTATTCGGGTAACAAGCAGCTCCCGAGGGGGGCGTGACCAGTGGTCCAGGGTGCGGACTCCTGGGCCAGGTGGCCGTGGGACCCTGGACAAGGACTTGCGGAGTGCGGCAGCTTCTGTCTCCGGGAAGTGAAGATGGAAACAGGGTCTGCAGCCTGCTCACAGCAGATGCTGCGAAGACGAACGGACCTGAGGGGCCCGGCAGTGTTTGGCCGTGCAGAGCACCTCGTGGCGCTGGCTCGCACGTCACAGAAGCTGCAGTACCAGAGGAGGGGATGGCGGAGGTGACAGAGAGGGCACCACAGCACGGGGCCAGGCGCAAGAGTGTGAACACGCTCTTGAGAGAACCAGTAAAGAGAGCCAGTGCAATGTTCTGCACAAGGGCGTCAAGACCCCATTCGCAAAAGATTACTCCAGCTGTGGTCGGAGATTAGGTTGGAAAAGAAAGTCACTGTTGCTACCTGGGCAGAGTGACACACACCTGTAATCCCAGTATTCAGGAAGCTGAGGCAGGAGTATCGCTGTGAAGATCAGCCTGTGCTACACAGTGAGTTGAAAGCCAGCTTGAACTGCACAGTGAGACCCCATCTCAAAAAACCAAAAACAATTGTTGGGCACGGTGGCACATGCCTGTAATCCCAGCACTTGGGAGGCTGAAGGAGGAAGATCATTGCAAGCTTGAGAGCAGCCTGGGCTACCAAAAGAGCTCGAGGCCAGCCTGAACTGCATAGCAAGATCCCATCTCAAAAAGATAAAAAAAAAGTCACCATCAGTGACCAAGGTGACAGATGACACTGAGCTGAAACATAGGCTCTTGAGAAATGAGCAGCTTAGACTCACGTGGAGCCGAGTACAGTGGCACACACCTACAATTCTCATTGTCTGGGAGGCTGAGGCAAGAGGGCTGCAAATTCAAGCCCAGCCTGGATACTCAGCAAGCCCATCTCAAAATAAAATAAAAAGGACTGGAGGTGTTGCTCACTGACAGAGCACTTGCCTAGCACACATGAAGCCCTAGCTTCTATTTGTAGCACCCCAAACATAAAACAAAAAATACAGCGTCACAATAACAAGCACACAGACATAGAACTCACTGGATGTAGGTGGTAATAGACTGTGCAGTATGATACATAAAGAGGAAAATGAAGGACTGGCAGAGTGGGGTAAGGCAGGAGCAGGCTGGAGCAGAGGCAGCACACCCTACTGGGCCGGAAATGGCTGTGGGGCGTGCACATCAGAAATCAAGAGTGGGCAATATAGTATGTGAGCATGCAGTTCAGGTACGAGATCTCAGCTAAAAATAGATGGAAAGTCTCAGCCATCAGCTGAGATCACAGGAGGCCAACGACTATGAGCAGTGAGAGACAGGCCCCCACTGGTAATGCCTGCTGCCGCCAGGGGCATCTCACAGGGTCTGAGCACTGGCTCCGGGAGAAGCAGCCTCCTTTTTATGGGAGCTTATTTCTGCTGGGGCTCTAGTCTGTATTTGGAACTGTAACAGAGAACACAGAGCAAGTTGGAGAAGCAAGTCTTTAGAAATGCTCTGGTTGTTTTGTTAGATTTCTATCCAGGTAGAGAAGAAGATCACAGAGCTGGTGCGGAGATGTGAATAAGCTTACAGGTCAGTACTGTAGAGCATAGCAAAACACTGCTCTAGAAAGAAACCTGGGTTCAAATCTCAGATCTGAAATTGCCCTATGGCTTTGGGTAAGTCACAACTTCAGGAAGGTCCATTTCTTGTATATAAAACAGGGGCAAGAAAAATCTAATCATGCTGAGGAGTAGGATTTGGAGGTGAGAACTTTTCATTTTTACTTGAAACTTGCCTTTATAATTTAAGATGCTTATCTCATCTTATATGATTTTAGTAAGTAAGGTACTGGGTATGAAATTACACAACAGTGCCTGCCACCTTGCAGAGTCTTAAACATTTCAAACCCCCAACAGGACAGCATTTCAGCTTTTAGCCAGTGACAAGCAAAGGCGGCTTACTGAAAATTTACGGTAAGGAATATATAAATAAGTTACCCTTTCGCGAAGTCTTGAATCATACTTTACTGTCATGTCTTTGCAAAATTTGCTTTTCTCCAAAATCTCATGGGTGGTCTGAAAAATCAAAAGATAGTTCCTTTTCTTATAAAAAAAAAAATGACCATGAAACTTCAAAATAATACATGCTATCCTAATTAACAACCAAGAACTGGCAGTATTCTCATGCGCATTAGCTGTCTGTTGGGCCTCGGGGCGCAGCTCAGCGGCTGCACTCTCAGCACGAACAAGGCCCTGGTTTGACCCTCAGTACGGATGAACTGAAACAGCGGCACACACCTGTAGTCCCAGGTACTTCGGGCTGAGGCTGGGGACTGAGGCAAGAAGATCACAAACTTCGGGCCAGCCCAGGCAACTTAGCAAGACCTTATCTCAAAATAAAAATGGAAATGGCTGCAAATGGAGCACAGCAGGAGAGGGCCAGTGGGCTCTATCCTCAGCGCTGGACAGGAAAAGGCTCACACTTGGTCTGTAAATTAGCACTCACTTAAGCTTTGTGTAACCTATAACTTAGCATTTTCACTGAGATTTTCATTTAACTTACTCCCCATTTTTAATTGACTTTATTGATATACATACCTATTTTAAGTCTGTTCATTGGGTTTTGACAAACTTATACACCCATCTAAGTACCACCTAAATCAAGAGAGGAACTTTACCACCCTTTACCACCCGAAAAGACTCCTTCATCCCTATACCAGCAAATCCTCCTCGTCCAAAGCAGCCACTAATTGCTTTCAAAAGCTATAGGTCAGGCTTCTCCAGCTTCATGAGTGGAATCATGAGCTATGTGCTGTTGAGTGTCTGGACTCTGCTGCTTGGCATAACTTTCGGGGCCTCTGCCTTGCTGACGCACGAGTCTGTAACCAGTTCTCCAGCTGAGCTCTCTCCTACTGCATGAATGAATACGCCAGTTCCTGCACTGGCTCACCTGCGTGTCAATACATCGGCCGTTTCCGTTCTGTGGTAATCGTTACAAATAATAATGCTATTAAACAACTGTGTACAAGTCTCAGGACATTCCTAATCCTATGTGTTCCTAATTCCACTAGGTAAATTTCTGGGACTCAAATTGCTGGGTAACACAATAAATTTATGTTAAACTGTGAAACTGTTTTCCAAAGTAGCTGCTTCCTTTCACCATCTCAGCCAATGTGTGGCTCTCAGCTGCCTGACAAGCTTTTCTTTTGAACCATTCGAATGTGTGTGCAGCAGCAGCACACTGTGGCTTTAATTTGCATTTTTGTGGTGATCAATGACTCTGAACATCTTTTCACCTGCTTACTGGCCTCCCATACATTTCCTTTTATGAAGTACTTGGTCAAATTAAAATATTTTGCCTCTTTTAAAGTGAAGTGTTTGTCTAGTTAATGAAAAAAGAATTTACATGCACTTTGTCGGATATACACACACATCCATATGTATGGCCTATGTATTACATGTGCACAGTACATATTTTTCCCTCCCAATCTATGGCTTACTTTTTCATTTTCTTAATGTTATCTTTCACAGAATAAAATCCATTTGAATATACAGTCAATTTTGAGTCAAGTTCTGCGTCTGGGGCAAGCCGAGTCACACACAGCTCACGTCCTCCTTGCAGCTATGCTACTCTCTCCGCTCTCAGGACACTTCTGTCAAAGCTCAGTTGGGCTTGTTGCTTTGGCTGTGTTCTGCCACCATGAACTGTAGCCT